AAGAATATGAATACATTTCAAGAGATGTTACAGGGAAGCTAACAGCTCCAAAAGCTGCAATGACCGGTGAAAAAGAAAATTTTGCTCACAAATTCCAAAGAGAGGTCACTGATTGAGCAACACATGAGGAACATTCAATTTCATCACTGATATTGTGAATAAAAACTTTACTGAAACTTTTTTACATATCAATGAAAAAATAAGACAATTCCAATGGTGAGAGAATTGAGAAGTGGCTGACAAAACCAGTCAGATTGAGACTACCTGATACATGACAACCAATCACAAATTCTCAACCTCAGCAAGTGCACCACTGGTTTCAGATGATAGGATGTAAATCCTTGGACATCATTAGCAACTTTCTCAGTAATCTATTTCTTTGATAGATGTAACAAACTCAGATTTCTTGCCTCCCCTCACAAAATCTTCTGCTCTGTGACATGTCATGCAAAGCTAGAAGAGTATCCATATCATTTAAGATATTGCAATGCAAGCTATCATCATGTTGGTTAGAACATCTCATCGCATGACATGTCACAGAGCAGAAGATTTTGAGCACAACAACTTATCTAAAGGATGTGCGAGTTATATAACCTTTGAAGATATCTAAGTTCATCAATTCTTAACCAAATCTTGTGATTCCAAATTCCACATATCCCTCTTCTTAGCTACTGCCGTCTGCAATCACAAACATCCATTAAAGCCTCCCACATTTTCCTCTGGAGCTCCGAATCTTAGAAAAGCTCACATGGAAAACCTACTCTAGACCATTGCTTCTTCAAAATTAAATTTCTCAGCGCTCCCTTGACGAATTAAGACGAGATTGGACTCATTGGAAAGCTATGATCCGAAGCTACAATCTGATTTGAACCTACTTGCATCCAACGACTATATCTCAAGTTATTCCCGTTTAAAATGAGAGGAGAAGCACACCAAGCCCACCTCACACCATTTATCCCCTTCCGATTCTAAAGCTTCATCCTCGCCTCAAGATCTTGGCTTCTTTATGACCGTCGATTCTGGTATATCCGATGGCTATAGTTTGAAGCGGCGAGAGGGTATCGATCCGCGTGTGGCATCAACGGACCAATCAGAACTCAGTATTCTCCATTCGCCCCCCTTATTTAAACTCCATCGCTCGCCGTCGTCTGCATCTCGCCTCCCTTCCGACTCTCTTCCTTCCATATACGCTGCGCTCGAGCTCGGGAGACCTTCACGATGGCCACCGATGAGACCACTGATCCGAGACCGGTGGCGAAGTCGAAGAAGGCGAAGGCCCCCAAGGAGGCCAGGGCCAAGAAGGCTGCCGCCCCCAGGAAGCCTTCCGCCCATCCTCCCTACGCCGAGGTGAGGATCTTATCTTCTTGGAGCCTTAGTTTGCTTTCGCTTGGCCCGTTTCCGTGGATCTGAAGCTGTTTTCTTTGGTGCTTAGATGATCAAGGAGGCGATCACAACGCTCAAGGAGAGAACCGGGTCGAGCCCGTACGCCATCGGGAAGTTCATCGAGGACAAGCACAAGGCTCACCTCCCGTCCAACTTTCGAAAGATCCTCTTCCTCCAGCTGAAGAAGCTCGCCGCCGCCGGGAAGCTCACCAAGGTGAAGAGCTCCTACAAGCTCTCTACCATCGTGCATGCCGCGCCGGCTGAGCCCAAGTCTGCGGCGGGCCCCAAGAAACCAGCCGCCGTACAGACGAAGCTTAAGGCTAAGGCGAAGCCTGCCGCTGCCGCTTCGAAAACCAAGGCCAAGATCGCTACCACTGCGAAGGCTAAATCCAAGCATGTAGCATCTACGGTCAAGCCCAAACCGAAGGCGGCCGCGGCGAAGCCGAGGGTGGCCCCGAAGCGCAAGTCCCCGGTGAAGCCTAAGCCCAAGCCCAAGCCTAGGCCGACCAGGGCCGCGAAGACCACCGCGAAGGAGTCCCCGGGGAAGAAGGCAGCAAAGAGAACGTCGAGTCGGTCGGCGCCCACGAAGAAGCCGAAGCCAGCGGTGAAGAAAGCGGCGGCGGCGGCCAAAAAGGCAAAAAAGTAGAAAAATTCTCTTTGTATGAGAAAATATCTCTGTGTTTGTTAATATTAATATTAATATATATTTTTTTCCTCGCTTTACGCTACTTTAGGGAGGAGTTTAAGTAGATGTAAGAAGGATGGTGTTGTTGGGGGACGCTTGTTGCGATCTTTTCGTTAGTGAAAAAAAAAAAGTGTTCGAAGATATCGGATGGCATGGCGTTGTTGAGATAAGGATTTTAGCTTTTATAGTTTTAGTCATGCATTCTAAAATAATTTTTATATTTTTAAAAATATAGTATAAAAGTTTTATTTGGTTAAATTTGAGTTAAGAGTTAATTTATAATAAATTATTAATATAATAATATATAATTTAGGTTTTCTTAAAAATAAAGTTTATTTTAGTTTATATGATTTTGATTAATATCATTTAAACTTTTATGATTTATTTATATTGAAAATAAGTTTTATATTTTTTAAAATATAATATATAAATTTTTTTATTAAATTTAAATTATATATATATCATTATATTAATTATTTATTAAAAATTAACATGTTATGTATGTAAATTTTAATGATTGTTTAAAATTTAACGAGAGGAGTTTATATATTATGGTTTTCAAAATATAAGGATTATTTTAGAAATAAATAATTATAAGATTTTAAGTAGAGTAGGATCAAAATTATAGGAGTTAAAATGAATTTGTTACGTAAGTAAATTATAATGTTTGTTAATTTAAATTTGACGGGACTTATATGTTATATTTTTAAAAATATAAATATTATTTTAGATATGAATAAATTATATGGATTTAAGTGTTTCATGGTGCTAATTATAGGTGCTTTACAAGTGAGTGTTGATATTTTTTTTTTACTTATTATTTATTTAATATTTTTTATTTTATATTACATATTGCATACCCGTCTAAAATAATAAACTGACTGGAGGTGGTTGGTCTAATAATTATTCGTATGAGGACACTAGGAATACCATACAAGTGGTCATTAGAGAATGAGTTTACCGATTGATTCGCTGACGGAATGCTGGATGGTTGATAATGCCTTATTGTCAAACAACAATTCTATCATCTTAGTAATGTATATTATCATTATATTTAAGATACCAAGGATGTCCAGTATGAATACTCTACTCTTTGATACCAGACTTATAGACTTGGAAGTTCCAAATCTAGCACAACTGATAATCAGGAGTGGTAGCCAACCTTACGAAGGTTATTGAGTGTCGATAGAGGATCATCAACTCGGTGTTATGAGAAAAATATCCTATATGTTCTTGCTTAAGCAAATTTCTAGCCATAGTCATTTTGATTGAGAGAGAAAGAGTTCTCCAAGAGAATCCGATTAAAGCGAGACTCGAGTAGATACCGTATGAGTCTAATATCACCATACATAGAATACGATCTCTATGATATTCGATGGATGTTAGACTATAGATACATAGTAACTGAGGACAGACATGTCCAATGGATTGAATTCCCTTGTATCATTTAAGAATTGCGGTGTAGTGGCCTAATACGTCTGTACTCGAGTAGAAACCGTATGAGTCTAATAGCACCATGCTAGAATATGATCTCTATGATATTCGATTGATGTAAGACTATAGATACATAGTAACTGATGACAGACATGTCCAATGGATTGAATTCCCTTGTATCATTTAAGGATTGCGGTGTAGTGGCCTAGTACGTCTATAGTCGCTAAGTCAGTGAATTATTATGAAAATAATAATTTAATAAACCAGAAGGAGTTCTAACATGTATGACTTACGACCAGTTCGATATTAGGCATAGAGGGTCATGCATATATGGTATGTATTACGACGAGTAGAGATTTATATATAAGATCTCTGTTGGAGCCCCTACCTTATTGGATATCCAATAAACTCTTGAATTATTGGGTAGTTGGATGGAGATCCAATACTCAATAAGGTAGGATTTAATAGGGTTAAGTTGATATGAGACCTCTATAAATAGGAGGGAACCAAAAGACCATATGCTAGACCCCTTTTAGCTGCCACCTCTTGTACTCCTCTTCCCCTCTCTTTCTCAGCCAGCAGCCCCTATTTGGGGCATGTGGACAGTAAGAAGGGCTAGCCCGTTCTTGATTGCGTGATACGCACGAAGAGGAGATCTATGCAGCGATTTGAGGAATGTCTTTGTAGCCCCTATTGTATTGATCACCGCTAGAGAGGAAGACAGTTGACCTCCTTCATCCTCTCCCATGGATCTGTAGGATTTCAGAGATATATGATCTCCATAGATAACACACATCCCTTAACGCGCATGACTTTTTTGATTTTACGGATTTTTACGCACTAATCTTTGCACGATGATGAAACTTTTTTTTTTCTATAAAAAATTTTGATATTTTGTTTTATGTTCTTCCGCTGCGCATGTGATATCATCCTAAAATTTCTAAATATATGGTCAAAACAACATGAGTTAAAGTGGACCTTAACCCATTGTCATCTCGTTGCTTTATCGGGTGGGTTCGATGGGCCCATTTGTTTTGCTTCGATGGTGATTCTTCGGCTTTCTTGTGACACCTGAGATATTCTTATGTAAAACACGTTCTTGGGGGACTTATGTTGGAAGTTCTCGACTTAGGTCATGACTTAAGTAAGCGATCGTTGGATGGTGGTATACCTCACTTCCCTATCATGTCTCTAGTTATGAGTTGTATCGTGGTGTCTCGCGGATGGAAATAGGTGACTAAGTGTCAATTTGGAATCCTGATTTTAGAATTTAAATTTTAGAAATCAAAATTGAGGAATAGTTAGTTTTTTAATAAAAATGATTTTTTTAAAAAAATATATTATAAAAAGAGAATTATCGATTTAAATCGGAATAGTTGGTTTTAATTTTTAAAAAATCAGAAATTATAATCAAACAATCGACACTCAGTTCTAGTTTGATTAAACCGATAGAGGTTGCACATAATCCTCTCCTATGCGCAGGGAGGCATCATAGTCGATCAATGGTGTAGGCATCGACTTGCATAATAAGTGTATGGAGAGCTGAGCCAAAGATAGTTGGCTGTATTTGACACGTCCAGTAATTTCCTTGGAGAGCTGAGCTCCCTCACCCCAATTATGGACGTGAGAAAAGGTAAGATTTAATTGCTGCCGGAGATAACTCCATCCCCAAATAGAATACTCGCATTGGAAAATGTATTATCGAAGGAATCGGCCTCATGCCCACAGTAATACTAAAACTTCTCTACGTCTGGTTGGAAGGCTCCGCAGTCCTACACGTCACTACTCATTCCCAAGTTTCAGTATCAACGAAATCAGCAAGCAACATTAAAAAATTAATTATCATAATCGGATCGAGTTAGATGGTCAGATTATTAATTTATCTGATTCAATTAGCGAATCAGATGCGTTGAAAAATCAGAATGAACCGATTGATTTTTAGATGATTCGCATGAATTACTCAATTTACAAAAAGTCAGTATGGTTTTGTAATATAATAAACTATTACTTTAGTATTTTTAACTTAAATTTTTTTTATTATTTATTTAAGAGAACATTTATCTCGATCATAAAATAAATTAAAATCGATCTTGTTTAATGTAATTACCAGTAACTTGTTTTAAGGAGAGAGTTTTTTTTCTCATTTTCACTTTATGCCTCTTTTGATTTCTCTTTGAATATCTTTTAATTCTTCATGATCGTGTTTGTTGAAGAACTTTCTCGATTGTATCTTAGATAACTCTTCGACGATACTTGCATCGGGTCGAGGAATATTCTTATAATAATACTTTGCATGTCTTCGACTTCCTTTTTTAAACTCTTTATTTGAATTTTAACACATTTGAAACTTATTTTCGATTTAATCAGAGGATATTTTAATTTTATTTTCGAATGACTTTTGGCTAGTTCAAATCTAACCATATATTTTTTTGTTTCTTTTATTTCTTTTAACCAACTCCGGAAAACTAATACATCCTATGTCTATAACAATGTCAATCACTATTAAAAGATTAATACTATACAATAATAAATAAAAGATTAATACATTATGAAAATATCTTATTCATATATTTTTTTTTCTAACATCAATTCTTAAGAATAACCATACATACTTTGATGAATGACCTATACGAAGACGGGGGAGTAAGTAAACAATCATCCCCCATAAGGTGGGTAAGCAAAGATTTAAAAACATTAGAAATTATTCATATCAAATTAAAAGAAAAACAATAACACGTGTATTTTAGACATTCCAAAGGACAAAAATATGGCACAACTCTAATTCATCGTGTTCATTATCTACGTATATTCATGTGTTGATGCATTTCCTTTTCTTTTCTTTTTCTTTATAATGTATGTACATATATCAGATAACATAAATTTTTCATAATCCTTTTATAAAATATATAACATAAACTTTTCATCTTTTCATAATCCATCTCACATGTCGTCGTCTTACGTGTTTATCATCCAATAATACATTTCGTAATCCTCTTATGACTACAGCCCTCCACGGTTGGTGTCCCAAGGTTGACTCTCTCTCAAACCTTACCGTGAATAGTGTGTAGTAGTCTCGTAACAATCTTTGCGAGTATTCCAGGAACACAACAAAGCCGAATAGCAGAAGGCAATATAATATCAGAACCTTGCTCTTCTCGTGCCTCCAATAAATTAAGTTAAGAGGAGCAACCAAAGAAATAATCACCATATTGAAATTAAACTTGTTTAGATATTATAAAGAGGTTCATCAGAGAAATAAATTAAATGTTTATAGAAGGATATACCAAATTGACTATTGATTCTTGAAAGAATTTTTTGAAAAAAAAATGATTCATTTTAAATATAATTAATGTAATATATTTATGTGAACTATATAAACCTCGTGGGTCATCAAGCATATAAAGTTTTTAAAATTATAAAAAAAATTTAAAAGAAATATAGAAGTTTTAAAGTGATATATTATATATCTATAATATAACTAGTTGGATTTCGTTGAAATATTTTAGCCAAAAATCCTTTAGATAACATTGAAATAGCACTGCAGCGCCACGTCAGTCCTTGGCTTCGGCGTTCACGAACGCTACGAACTCATCCATGGCCTCGTCCGAGCT